ACATGCCACCATGCCCAGCTAATTTTTTGTATTTTTAGTAGAGACAGGGTTTCACCATGTTGACCAGGATGGTCTCGATCTCTTGACCTCGTGATCCACCCGCCTCGGCCTCCCAAAGCGCTGGGATTACAGGCTTGAGCCACCGCGCCCGGCCTTTTTGAATTTTTATAAGGCATTTCTCCTTAAAAAATGCAGGCAAAAATGAAGCAGCTAGGATTTTAATTGTTAATTAAAATAAAGAATTTTTAATTCAAGTAAAAATTGTAGTTAGAGCTAAAGTTAGTAAATGCATGCTCATTTTCACCAGCACTCTTGGTTGGGTAAAAATTGCTTATGACAAATGGGTACAGATGATTGTTCTTGTTTTCATGTCGAACATATTCTAAAAACAGTCAGAGAGCAGAAGTCTATCATTGTCAGGGTAATGGGCTGAGCTCTGATTGAGTGAGTAAAAATGCACTTACGATCTCCTTTCACATGAGAGATTGCCTACCTAAGTGGATTCTCAGTGCAGAAGAAAGCTTTGCTGTGAGCATCTGAGAGACCTGGTGTACTTCACTTTACCTATCTGGGCCCCTGATTTGGAGATGTACATGCCTAATCAGAATTGAAAACTGGCAGTCTATGGGCTCAGCAGGAAAACTGTGGCCTCCAGGTATTTATTTTTTAATTAAACCAGTGTTTAAACATCAGCTATATTACAAAAAATGAAACCCTGATCCAGATTTTCTAGGCTGGAGCTGAACAGAAGTATACGCTACTTTATTACTTCACTGTAGTCCCCACTTCTCAATGTCTCGCTGACTTTGAGCATTTATGTAAGTCACTTGTGCCCAATAGCTTCACTTGATTGTGTTACTACCTCAAACCTGTAGGTATTGAGTCTGTAAAGTCTGGACTACTTAGGTGTTCTCTAAATACCATTGAGCTCCAAAATGCTATGACCACACTTATGAAATTGATGTGTCTACAATGCAGAAAGGTAATGGTACCAAATATAGTTAACTCCCATGAACCATAGAGAGGGTCTAAAAAATTGCAAACATCAAAATATGTAGACTCCGTGAAAGCTTAATGAATAAAAATTGAGTTAACCTGGTCTGTTAAAGAATAGCAGAGGTTTTCATCTGTGTACTTGCTTGCTTTTTACTGTACCACCAGTGGCAAATAAAAGACATTAGCAGTTTTAACAATAAGGTAATTTATTTTTTCTTTACCTTAAAGATCAATGACTGAGATCTCACATTGGATTGTTTTATGTATTTTTAAATGCACCATATCTTTATCTTATGTATAACTTTTTACATATAGACCAAACTTGCATAGCTTCCCGAAAGCTCAGAGTATATCTCAATCTTTCAAGCGATGCTGCATTTTATTTAGCAGTCCCAGCAGTTGAGATAAACTTTCAGGAGTAGTATCAACTCATATCCCATCTTCTGTTCCTTCATAGTCTAGAAATGCTCAGTTAATGATTGCAGTAAGCTGTGTTTGCAACCTCTCTCGGAGGCTAGGCAGATCACTGCAGTCTGGCCACTTGATTGTGTAGAACTGCTCTGTTAATACGGCTAAAAAATAAGGTGACCACATCAGGGTTGATTTATTCATGTTGCAAATAAAGACAAATGCCCTTTTGAGGCAACACGACGGGAAACTTAGGCAGATCTCTTCGGTAGGGAAAGCTGTCTTCGTAGCACTCTGAAATCCCTCATGTCTTCTTAACTTCTGCTGCCACTTTCCTTCCTCACCACACTTCGCTACATACCACCCCCACTTTGTGCCTCCTACTTTACTTCTAAAAACATCCTCTCATCTAATTATTAATCCTAAAGTGTCGGTGCTTCAGCAGCTTCACTCCGAGAAGACAGTGCCAAGAATAGTACCAATTGAAACTAACAGAGGGCACAGTGGCAGATCGACTCCACGCTTTCTTTGGAGAGAGTGGCATTTCCTTATAGAATGGTAGCCGTGTTTAAGTATCTGGTGTCCTGTCACCTGAAATGAATTGATAATATATAAAAGACCATAGGCGTAAAAGTCTTGAGAGATAGTTATGAAAGTGCCATTTAGAACACAAATTTAGTTCACTGAAATGTTTAGGCTCTTTTATGAAGAAACTGTTCTGCTATTCCCCTGGTGGCTATTTTGATGTTTAGAACTATAATGATGGGTTTTTAAGAGATCCTCCCTCTGGGGTTTGTGGCTTTTGAGTGGTGAAGTGTGAGTCTCCAAGGAGGGAAAAAATTAATAACCTGAGCTGGACTGGATTGAAGGTATGTCAGTTCCTTCTACTTTGCAAATTGAATCAAAGCTTTCTTCCAACTGGAAATAGGAATCTATTTAGGAGGTGAGAGATAGGATGTGAAATGGGGTTGGCAGAAGGTCCTGGTTTAGAGAAGGTGAATTCTTTGGATCATTTAATAAATCTGTATCGAGCACTTGACATATATATTAAACCCTGTTCTGTGTGCTAGGGACTCGAAATTGAATAAAACATAGTCTGAACTCTCAACTAATTCCCAGATGACGGGAATAAGCTCAGTAATAAATATAGTTCAACAAAATTAGAATGGGCTCTTTTCCTGGTCACGATCTCAGAGAATTCCCCCGGTAGCCTAACAACCTGGGTACCTCCCCTGTCCTAACCAAGCAGCCCTGGACCTCTTTCTTCCTTCCCGTATGCCAAGCAGTTCAGCTTCATTTCCGTTCCTCTTCACAGCTTCACCACCTGCTTGCCACACCTGGGTTCCTTTCCTCCCCGCCAGGCTAGCTTGAAAACTATACATCTTTCCCATACTCCACTTCCTTGATATAGAAAATAAAATCACAGACACATGCATTTCCAACTTAATTCTGCTAAAAACAACTAAGAAGCAGAGGGTAGCAGAAGTGACAAAAATGGAACAGATATAAGATGTAGAATTCTTCTAAGTTTCTGCTGGTCTGTGTACTACAGGAAATTTCTTTCTCATGAGTATACCAGAACCTCAGTGTAACTTCATTTCTATTTTTTTCTATTCAAAAAAAAACATCCACATGTGCCAGTGAGATAAGTGAGAGTGACATTATGATAGAAATAACTTGATTTTTGAGTTTAGTATAATTCATTAGGGAAAACTCCTCTAAATTATGCTTTAAATAAATAATTTGCTGTCATTGGTACTTTATCTTTGCTCACCAGTTGTATTTTAAGACTGTTTAAGGGCCACTGTTTTAGTTAATTGCTTAGACTCTCAGGAAGCCCTTCCACCTTTGGGGGGTGATCTTGAGTTAGATCACTATTGGGGAATGTACCCATTCCAATGATACTGTAGATACTCAGCTGTTTACATAGCTGCTCTGTGAAATACCCCATGCCTTCTTGCTATTTTATCCTAAGGAGGTACTCTACCACTCTCCCTTGGTCTCCCTCTCCAGGGCTTCAACCTTGGAAGTTTAAGTGGTAATTTATGCCTCTGGAATGCCTGGCAAGTGATTCTATCTCTGTGTATTTGCCCTGGCTGGGAGTCTCCTTCTTTGCCTCGGAGCCCAGAGGCTGCTGGTGTAGGGGCAATGAAAGAAAAGAGATGGAACCTCTGTTGTAGATTTAACGATGAGTGGAAAAGAATGAAAGACCAAGTAAACACATGTGGGAAGAGGGTTCAAAATTCATTAAAGAAGGAACAAGAAAAAAAACAAAAAACCACTTGAGGCATTTTGCCATCTTGATTCTGGAGCATAAGAGTACCTAAAACATGTCTCCATATGTATCCATCTACTTTCCAAAGGAAATGGTGAAGGCTAGACTACAGATATATTTAAATACTTCAAAAATTTATTCTTCAGGCTTCTCTGCCAGTGGCATCTTGCTAAAACCACTTCTCTTTTAAAGAAATCTCTGAGGTTTGTCCTATTAAAAAAGAGCACATTAATAATTCCGCATTCTGGAGATGAGGAAATAGATAACAGAACTTGCCCAAAGTCCCACAGATGGTAATGGGGCTGTGTGAATTCAGTTGTCCAACTTCAATGGCCGTGAGCTTCACCACTGTGCTGCCCTGCAGGATTCCGTTGGTGATGCAAATCACAGGGGGTCAAAACGCAGGGACTCAGTGCGATTTTATGGACTGCTGTCTTCTATCTTGGATTTCATCTTGTGTTGCTTAAAAAACAAATGTGAGCGTTTCTAAATCAGCGATAAGACGTTTAGGAAAAAAAACAGGGTGAGTTCAAGGACAGGTATTTTAGGTTAAAACTTTATAGATCATTGCATAGGTGATAAAATTGGCAAACATAACTTTTTATCAAAATACCAGATAACACATATATTCAGCAAACAACATTTCTTTGTTTCTCAAAAGAAAAATCAAATGGGTTTCATATGTCACATGTGCGTGCACACCCACAGACATACATACACTCACACACACACAGAAAAACAAGAAAAAACAAACATGTGTCTTTGTTTAACTGCCTATGGACTTTGGACCTACAAACTATTTATAGAACTAGTGTTTCCGTGATTGATATTTTAGTCATAGACATTCATTTACTTATGAAAGTTAAGCAATTCCTCATTATAGCTTACAGCTAAGTGTTCTCATTGCAAATGGAATACTGAAAAAAAAAAAAAGGTAATCCATGCACAGGAGGCCCATTTGAGACAAATCTTCTTAAAACTATGTTCTAATGAATTAATGACTCTTGGTAGGAGGATGAATATCCCTATCTGTCCATTTGGAAGGTGCAAATCCACTAACTGAAAAAAAAAAAAAAAAGCCATGATTTCTGCCTTATTTTTTTTGTTTAGTTCCTTAGTAAGTAATTGTTTTTTGTTTTTTTTTTTTAGTAAAAAAATAATGACTGAAGTCACCTAGAGGCATTAGTCTTATTACTGGACCCTTTTAATCATTTTGGAATGTCTTTCCCACCTTGTGTCAGTTCAGAATTCAAACTGTTTGTTCCAGGAGGCAGCACATCAGAGCGCACTGCTTCTCAAAGTGCAGATTTCCAACAGTGACCTGTGAGAGGGTCTTAGGTAGTATACACATTTGCTTTTTATTTTAATACTTATGAATTTATTTAAAGGTAGAAATATGGTCGGAACACTTTTCAAAGTATATCTTAAAAAATATATGCTATGAAAAATAATATACCCAGTCCATCAAACCTGTAATTTCACAGATATTATTTTTTAGCACTAGGCTAATGTTTTCAACCAGTGTACCAGTTAATGTCAATTTAATGAAAAATATTGAGTTAAAAAAATGGTTTAGATAAGAAGCACTTGAAGCTAAAATCATGAAATGGATACGCAAATGTCACAGTTCCTGAAAGTGGTACATGAAGTCATGTCATTGTCCACAGCACCCCAGGTTCTCTCTAGAAATGAGAGGGCTGGTCCAGAAATCCCTAATATCAATTCTAGCTCTGATGCCCCACCACTTATTTTTTTAACTCTTGCTTGTTTTTTTTCTTCATACATGGGCTTATTTTCTGAATTTTAGGCCTCTTCTGCCTTGGTTGGAACCCAAAGGAGCCCTTCTCCTCTCCCCTTCTTCATCATCACCAAGCATGTATGCCTTCATTCATTTACGCATGTAGTCATTTAACAAACACCCCATGGAGAGCTTATGGGCTAGGTAATGTGGGCATGCAAGAAAGCTACAGAGTTCTAGACCTCTGACTTCTGTGTAAAATGAGTATACGTGTCTGTGTTTCATATTGAAGTTAAGGCCCTTGAATGAAAGTCCTGGACTTCTGCCATCATCTTGTCTTTGTAGTTCTTGGACAACTAAGGGATCTTCAGTGGAAGGTCCCTTCATTGATAAAACGCATTATCAAAGCTCAAGTCACAAATTTAAAATGTGTGTTGCTGTACATCCGAATGCATAATGTGTGAGAATGGAGAAAAGGGGTTTCTACATTTCATAGCCTGAAATGTGTAATTCTTGGGTTGTTTTGAATACCAAGGAAAAAATTAGTACTTTTGTGATTTTGGAGTAGAGGTTAATACATCTTTGGTCTGTTAGAAATGTTTGTAAGTCTGAGTCATACGAGGAACTTTAACCCTTCTCAGATTTTTGGGCTTTTTGTAAACAGCTACATTCAGAGGGGAGTCAAGTTTCGATAGTGCTTACTGCTCTTTCATATAATTAAACTCCAAACATGTGGCTAAAGGTATATGACTATTTTTCCTTGGGAATTTGTCCCTGAGAAATACTGTTAAGATGTTTTAAAGCCCTTGAGTGTGGTGAGTATAATTGTCACAAACATTTATGTGATGTCAGTGTAGATGTTTTATGTTTGCCAGCAATTCATAAGATTTTGCTATAGTGGTGAAAAGGATAAAGCTGTGGTTTCCTGCTGGAGTTTCTATATAATAGTGAGAAAAGCATCAGAGGATGTAGTTGGTTGTGGTTATTTGCTCATACCCTGCTGCTCTTTTCTTTTTTGTAAAAAACAGGAAGCTGAAATTTGCTCTTTACTTAGTTCAGTTGATGTTTAATAAGGACTTATCTGTGTGCCAGTATGGGAGGATGTAAAAATGAGAAGATGTATCCCTGCCTTTAAAGACCATAAAATCTTCAGAAATTATGTAAAACAGTAGGAATTTAAGTAAAGAGGTTGAAGTGCTGTATGGCAGTATTTATTTATTCTCAGTGTACATACATTATGATAAAAATGGATTAACTGAAATTGGTTTCGATTTTTGTTAGAGGAGGGGATCTCATTTTGTTGTCCAAGCTGGTCCTGGGCTCAAGTGATCCTCCCAGCTTCACCTCCCCAAATGCTGAGATTACAGATGTGAGCCATGCCCAGCGTGTTTTCAGAATTTTAGTGTTTAGATTTCATCATGAGTGATATAACTTTCCAAGTGTCACATTAAAATATAATTCGAAGAAAAAGCTAGTTCACTCAGGTGATTTTTAACTCATTATTACTCTGAAGTTCAAATTAATTGTTAGTTTTTCTGTATTCTCCGCTTATGGAGCAAACTCTCAATTCCTCAGCTTACCAGTTTTAAGAAGAATTATGTGAAAGAGCATATTCCAAGTCCCTATCCCCAAAACAGGGTAGAATAAAAAATATACTTAGGTGCAATATATTAGTACTATTTCATTTGACAATATCATAAATTTTTAAAAAGAAAGGCATGCACAAAAGAATATTTGTAGCCAAGTACGTATTCTGAATAGAAAAGATTTCATGGAATCCCTATCACTTAAAGATGCAGAACCACTGTGGTAATATGGAATAATGGATTTACTTTTAAGTTTTAGACCTTACACAATTGTGGGAGCTTTGCAGTGGCTTTCGCATCTGGTATGGAGCTAAAGTCATCACAGGTTAGCAGAGATGGCAACCGGAAAGAAAAACTGGATCTGAAGTAGAGCTGAGCAAGGGCAAACTGGAACCTGCAGGAGAAAACGAAACCCATAAAGATAACTGGAACTTGTATTTGATGCGTACCTCTCCAGCCTAATGACCCTGACCTGGACAACCCAAAAGGGACTGGCACTCTTCACTGCAAAGACATTCATGCACCTGGCTCAGAAACCGAAAGAGGAGATCTGGGGGGAGCCAAAAGTCTGGCAGCCTGGCTGCTGGCTGACATGGACAAGGTGAGCTGGGAAGTCAGTGAGCTGCACCTTGTTGACTACACTGACCTTCAGAGCAGAATGCTGCTGTTTCACTTCTACCTTCCAAAGGTCACACAAATTTCCCTTGTAGCCGACTGGAATGAAGAACAATTTAGGAAAGGGAATTCTGGGAATGAGTTTCCATCAGATGTAAGGTGACAGTTGATACAAAACCAACACAGAGGAGGCTTTGTATCTATAAAAGGAGAAGTGTTTGCAGTCAGGAAGTTCCTTGCTTTTAAGATCTCCAGGAAGCCTTCCAACTGGAAGATAAGTAATCCATGCTGCTCATGAAATAAGCTTAAGAAATTTTCTTGTATAGATTTCTACAGACTTATACAAATTTTCTTCTATACACAACTAGAAGTTGTTGGTTTACTTCCATTCAAAAACTGAAGTTTCAGAAGAAGTAGATATTAATATAAAGAAGTTCCAAGATTCATGTCATTTAAGACACTGAACTCATATCTCCAAACTATGCATCATCCTGAAATATAAAAGTTAATGAGCTTAACTCACATGTGGCTGGTTGATGTAGTGACAAAATTATTTTCTGCCACAAAAATTCTAAACAATATTTTTAGATTTCTGTAGGTGCTACAGAAGGTTTATATAGTATAATGTTACAGAAAAATGAAAGTTCAGTTAAGAAGTTGCTTCCCCTATGTTTCTTTTATTTATTGTTTTGTTTTGTTTTGAGTCTCTTGCTTGTAAGGATGTGTGAATTGGTGCTGTATGAAGTGGTGAGCCTACCAATGGTGGAAGACAGATGCTATAGCCAGGGTTCTTTCAATAAGTGGGAGGTTGGCCTCTGCATCTTCTGAGAACCTTTCCATTTTCAAGACTCTTTGAGTCTTTATCAGTGACTCTCAACCTCTTTTTGCCTTAACTCGCTTGACAAATAGTATGTACAGGTCAGGTCCCCTCTGTAATTTCTTCTGTCTCACCTAAAAAACACATTGAAATATATGTGATCTAATTTGTGAAGTTAATTAATTAATTAATAATTCTTAATCTCTTACTTAAGTGCCAGTAATAACAATCTTGTCTTTTGTATAAGAAATTTACTACACAAATATTTAACAATCCCAAATATATTTTTCAGTTTACCTCTTGGTAAAGCAAGAAAACAGAAATCTGTTTTTTCAGACATATAAATGAAAATGGAAAAATCCATGAAAAGGGAAGAAAGTGCATAGTTTTACTAAAATTCTTTTGGTATTCCACAGTTGACAAAATTAGGCAATACTAGATTAGCCTTTGGATACGTTAATTGTGTCACTGTATGTGTTAATCTAATCTGATCACATAGAAGCATTGATTTAAGTAGCATGTGTTATTGGAAAATCCCTGAACTTGGGATGGGGTGACAGAGCTTCATGTATACAGAGATGACTAAGAGTTTTTCCTTACCCACAAAGAAACCTTTAGTCTGGTGGGAGAGCTAATACAAAGAACCAAATGAAGAGAGAGGAGGGAAAACTGAATGTGGGCTGAATATTAAAGCAGAAATATTTTGGTTCTAAAAAGATTAAGTTTTAAAATTTCATCCCACACTCCGTAATAAGAATGGCAGAGAAAAAGTGAAAAAAANAAAAAAAAAAAAAAAAGAAAAAAAATTAAAAAGCTCTGACGATACCAAGTGTTGGTAAGAATGTGAAGCAACTGGAATGCTACTATGTTACTAGCAAGGATACAAAATATGGTAGAGACACCATGGGAAATATTTTGACAGTTTCTTTACAGGTAAAAATATTTTGGCAGTTTCTTATAAAGTTAAATGTTCACTTACCATATGACCTGGCTGTCCCACTCCTATTTATCTAGGTGACAAGAAAACCTATAACATAAAAACCTATTTATAGTGGCTTTATTCGTACTCTCCAAAAATAGGAAATAACTCAAATGTCCCTCAACTAGTAAATGAATAAACAAACAGTGACACATTCATGCAGTGAAACAATGTCCAGAAGTAAAAAGGAACAAAGTATTGACATGTACAACAACAGGGTTGAATGTCAAGAACATTTTGTTAATTTAAAAAACTAGACTCAAACAGCTAAGTTCTTTTATATTTACGTACCATTCTGGAGAAAACAGAACCATGCAGATGGAGAAAGAGGTTTGCATTAAAGGTGAGGAGAGTTTGACTACAAAAGTGTCATGAAGAGGAATTTCTTGGTGGGGGACAATGGAAATTATTCTGTCTTGATTGTGGTAGTGGTTACACAGAAGCATTTGTCAAAACTCATACACCTGTACACCAAAAAATAGTAAATATAACTGTATGTAAATTGTGTTAATTCATAAAGAAAAAATGCAATCCCAAATCATGGTCGGGAATATAGCATCCTCCTAGTTCTGAGGTCAGAAAAGCAGGCATATGGAGATATTAATCCTGCCTTCTGTTTATTGACACAGAAAAATTTACTCTCTGAACAGACTTGCACACTGATATCCAGAAATCTTGGTTTAGTTTCTGTCTCAAACATCTCTTTGAATGGATGGAGGCAAGTATCATGGGACCCTGGATGTCAGCTGACAGTTCTGTTGCCTAAAATAATGTTATGTTCACCATCTGGTGAGCGTGTGTGGGAGTAGTGTGTGCTCACCGTGTCCTCTGCTGTTTGTGTATGAATGGGGCATGCGGCAGTCTCTCTCCAACCTCATATTCACAGATGCTGAGAGAAATTATTTATTCCAATATTGTTTATTGAGGTCTTATTGAATGAGAAGTGCTGCATTACATGCTGTGAGGGCTACATAGGGAGCTTCCTAGAGTCCCTATCAAAAATGGAGCTCATAATGTAGCATGAGAGATAAGACATATATCTCCATAACTATAATTCAATCAGATTATGATAAATCCTATGAGGTTTCCTCACTGTACTATGGCTATTGAGAAGAGGAAGTTCTCACTTCCTGCTGGGGGTATCGGAACAGGATTATTTTGTGGAGAGTGTGGCATTTGGCATTTGTCCTGAAACTTAATGCTTCCAGTGGATCCTAAGCCCTTTGAGAAATGGATCCTACCTGCCCTATTCACTGGCTTTTCTCCATACCTAGCCCGGTCCCTGACATACACTATTGCTCCATCAATGCTTTGGTGTTAATTAATGAATAAAATAAAGGACAGTCAGCATTTTCAAAGGCAGAGAAGACATGAGTGGAGGAATGCAAGCAAATGATTCAAGCATATTTGAAAAACTAAGAGTAGAGCCAGGTGCAGTGGCTCATGCCTGTAATCCCAGCACTTTGGGAGGCCTACACAAGAGAATAGGTAGAGCCTCAGGAGTTTGAGACCAGCATGACAATGTGGCAAAACTCCATCTCTACAAAAAAATACAAAAATTAGCCAGGCATGGTGATGTGCGCCTGTGTTCCAGGTCTCAAAAACAAAACAAAACAAAACAACTCCTGAGAATAGTTCGGCTTGGCTGGAGTATGGGAGGATATGGGAAGCAATGTTCCAAAATGGTGTTGGAAACAAACTGGAGAGTGCCAGATTAGGTGATCTGAACATTTTTCAGTCTAAGAAGCTACTGACAGAGTTTTGAGCTGAGAATGATGTGATCAGATCTGTGTTTTAAAAAAGATGTCATTTGACAGTGATTATTAGACAGTGACTATTAGTGATTACATAAGCTGCATTGGAGCAAGTGGAAAGATGGTGTCTGAGGCAGCTGCACCTCAGGCATGAAGGTACGGGCAGTTGTTGAAGTATTGCACCTGGAAAACAGGAATCAGAAGACCTGGATCAAGTCCTCACTTCGCTTCTACACTGTGTAGCAAAACTCATACGTTTCTGAAACCTCAGTTTTTGTATCTGTGAGGTTAATGTGGACATTATAAGAAATAGCATCTGTGGGAGCTTGTTTTATTGTAAAGAGCTATATAAATTAAATGCAACAGTTACTGACATTTGAGTCTTGAATGTTGGAAAGGTAGTTGCAAATATTTCTGGCAGTGATGCCACAGGAGTTGATGACTCTGTGGCTCTAGGAGGTAAAGAACAAAAACTGTCAAAATGACTCCAGGGTCTGACTGGGAGAACATTGCTGCCATTAACAGAATTAGTGTTGTCAAGAGGGAAAGTTTGTTTTGACAGAATGATATTGAGTCTAGTGTTGGCTGTTGCTTGGGACCCTGGCAGAATATGCAGGTCAGATATCTGACCTGCACTTACTATATAATAGAGGAGGACCAGGGACATGAGGAAAGGGAGATGCCTGGACTGAGAGCAATTAAGGTCAGTACCATTAGATAGCCTAAGATTAGACGTTATGATCAAGGACAGGAAAGAAGAGGGCTGAAAGAGAATTTTCAGCAAAACCGACATTTCGGGTCAAAGAAGGGATTAGTTTGATCTAAGGCTACAAAAGGATGATCTGAAAGTGGAAAGAAAAGTCGACACAGAAAACGTCAGAGAGATAACCGTCGTGAAAACGATGCCATGAGTTCAAGATGGAGGAAGAATAAAATTCCATTCCTGGATCTTAAAACCGAAAAAATAATACCTGCCTGTGGGCTTGTTGTGGAGAGTAGGTAAGAGACAGTGCTGAGTGCCATCTCTTATACACAGGAGCCCAAAACGTAGGAGCTACTATTAGTATTGTTATTGAAATTTATTCTCATTTTTAACGTTACCCAGATCTTGTGAGGGTTATATGTGATGATGCCTTTTTATTTTAAGATAAATCATAGGCTAAATTTGCTGCATAATAACATCTCCTGACCTTTAAAGGGTAAAATATAGTTCATTCCCAGTTTTAGAAGAACTGCATTCTGTTCTGACAAGAGCATATTGTTTTTCTGAAACTCTCATGGGAGTGCCCTGCATGGAAAAACAAATTCCCCTCCTCCAGGCCAAAGTTGAATCCTATCAAGGTACACGGAATAAGAACAACTTGCTCATCAGCTGCCCGCTGCCCTCATGTAGAATATATTAAACCTGAATTTCACTCCTGAAGGTGGCAGTGAGATGCATTTATGCAAACTCTATTGACCCAGAAAATCATTTGTGAAAAGGAAAAAGTCGAATATTGGTTTAATATATATACCCTTTTATAATTTGTTATAAATGAGAGACCAAGACAGCATAGAACAACCATCAAATCTACTTGTGTCATATTAATTATTCCTTCATCTTGATCTAAAAAGCCAACCAAGAGCCAGTTGGCTTTGCAAATTAAAAAAAAAAACAAAAAGCCTGTCTTGGGGATCACACATCTTTTCTCAAATCCGCCACCTTAAAAATGTATGCAGTTAAGAAGTCACAGTGAGAAAACCGTCAAGGCTCAGGGGCATCTGCTCTGGGAAAAACTATCCAATGCCAGGAGCAAGATTCTGTGATTTGTAAGGGTCGTTAAGGCACTGAAATTAGATAGTACATTATTCCATATGTTCAAATGATCAATCAAAAATCATGAGCACTCGCAAGAAAATAGTTTTTTTGGTCATTATCTGATATAAGTTTGCAAATTTTCTTCTATATTTGCAGTGGTCAGTAAAAATCAAAATTATCATGGCATCAGCCTATCCGTCTTTCTTAAGATTTATTATGATTTTCCTAATATTCAAAAAGGCTTCTAAACACTCCCAACATTTCTCTCTTCTCTTTCATTCCACATTTTATTTAATGGAGTCATTCATGTTTTACCCATTTCAGGGTTAGAATTTTGAAATTTTTTCTGGAATTAAATCCATTTTCTTAACCTGGCATTGAAGTCTATTCCTAATAAGCCTGTGTCTAGAACCGAATTTCCCAATGAGCATCCCAACCTCCACCCCATTTTCTCCCCACCCCAAGTCTTCCTGCATACACTCTTAAGTTCCAGGTAACAATGTACCACATGGACCACAGTTTAAGTCTGTGCTTCCCTGCCTTTGAAACTTTCCTTAGCCTCTTCCCTTTGCCCTAAGGCTCAGCTTTTAAAACCCAACTCAAATCTTTATCCTGTGCTGGGAAATGGCACGCAGTTCAATTTGGTGTTTCACAGTATTAACCACAGGTTGTAACATACAACCCCAAAATGTCAATAGCCTTAAGCTATTGAATAAAATTATATGCATATTTTAAAATCTCTGCCAAATACCTCCAAAATACCTTTTAAGTTCATCCTAGTGTTAATTAGCCATTTGCTTTCTTGCTTTCTCATGGCATTTTTCTCTACATGTCTAGTACAAGAGTTATTTTTCATGGTATATCATCTCTAAAATATTTAGTTTTGGAGGGCAGTTTGTATATCTTGTATATATATTTGTACAGCCCCCACAGAATTTAGCACAATGTCTTATCCATAAGAAGCCTCGATAAATAGTTGTTGAATTCATTTCCGTTTTCCATTGAGTTCACTACTGAATTCCTCAAGATTCTAAGGCCAGAGTAGTTGTTTTGTTTTTTACAGACAGGGCCTCCTTATGTTACTCAGACTGAAGTGCAGTGGCCATTCACAGGCGTGATCATAGCTCACTATATCCTCAAACTCCTGGGCTCAAGTGATCCTCCGGCCACATCCTCCCAAGTACCTGGGAATACAGGCACATCCCACTGGGTCCATCTGGAAAAGTAGAATTCAAAAATAATTTGCTTTCTAAGTATTTATGGAGTATTACCTTCTAAATCCTTGTAAGATTAATAGTGGTTTCTTTTTTTTTTTTTTTGGTCTTAAGCGTCTTGGTATCTTTATTTTAATGGGAGAAAAATAGTATTTTCCCTGTCAGCACTTGATAACTTTTCTTTTTTCAGAGTCTTGTTTTCTCAAAGGAAAAAGAGAAAATTAATGTATAAAAGCATATCTACATAGGAAATTTTAAAAATGAAATTGAAGTCACATTCTAAAAAATATGAAGAAAAAGGGCGAACTATAAAATTTTTTAAAGTAAGCTTTCTGAAGATGATGAGGTAGACTCTGATGAAAAGAAATACCCACTGTGATAAAGACACAGTGTAGGAAAGCACCAGCGAAAGGCAGACTTGGCTGAAAGAGAAATACCAAACCTGTTCCCAAGCAGGTCCCAGACAGAGGACGAGCCATCAAAAAGTTGAGCACAAGATTTTGGGGACCATCGTTATGCCATAGTTGTTATGAACACCCCACCCGATTCCAACTGTACAACTTTAATAAGGCCATCAGCAGAAACCTTAGTGTAGTTGAAACATTCTCATATTTTGCAAATTGGTGTTTCTCCTAACTTCTGCCTCCTTTCACTACCATTGTTAAAACAGAGAATATGACAACTATTCAAGCATTATTTTTTTAAATTTGTATTAACAAATACTTATGTCATCTTTGTTTACATGTATATACATTCACGTGTAATTGAGCAACCTCTGCAAAAAGAAAAATGTCTGAAAGTTAAAGAAAAGGATCTGTTCTGCAAAAGAAAAAGTGAGAGAGCTGACAGTCTGTGCAACTGAGGCAGTCAAGCTAGAAAATGATTAATCCAAATGAAGAACTAGGGTATGGCATCTCTTCCCCCTAAGAATAAATTAAGCAGTTGGAGTAGCAGAGTTAGAGATTTAGGCAAAAGAATGAGCATTCTAACAAGCTACTTATCCATGGTAATTCCCTCTGAAACACCAGTACCCGAGCCAGTTCTTCTTGGATAAAAATAAATATTTTTTATGCCTTTTCCTTATCTCTGTTGGTTTAAGTTTGTTTACAGATGAATATTTTAGGAGTAGTTCTGGAGAAAGGAGATAGTAAAATTTGAGAAAAGTAAAAAGAAGTGAATTGGGTAACAGAACAGGAAGTTGAGATATTTGTGATGCAGCCTGAGGTGTCCAACACATTTTCAGAATTAAAATGTCATGTTATAAAGCATGATCTTTTGGTTATTCTATGATTGTGGAGAGGATGAAGTTGTAACCACCCAGCAGGTTCTTCCTGCCCACTGCACAAATAAAGACCATGGCACTGAAGTAAAGAAAGAGTTTAATTGATGTGTGGCTGCCCATGCCACACGGTAGACAAAGTTATTACTCACATCAATCCCATAGAAGACTCATAGGTTAGGGATTTTTCAAAGGCAGTTTAGGGGAAGGGGTGGAAGTGGCTAGGAAATGGGTGCTTGCTGCTGATTTTTGGGGGTGGAGATGAAATCACAGGGAGTCAAAGCTGAACTCTTGAGCTGAGTCACTCCTCTGTGGGGCCACAGGAGCAATTTCGCAGGACCAGGTGGAGCCGTTAGTGTCAGACATGCAAAAAGCCTGAAAACATATCTCAAAAGGCCAATCTACACTGGTGATGTTATTTGCAGGAGTAATTGGGGAAGTTGCATATCTTGTGACCAGCCTATTAACAGAATTCAGGTTCCTTTCCTTCCCCTAGCCTGATGGTCTCATTAGTCTCATTTAAACTATAACTTAAATATCTTCCAATGTTAGCTAGACCTAAGCCCAGGAATAATTAAGGTAGCTTGAAAACTAAAGGCAAGGAATGGGGAGTTGGGTTGGCTAGATCAGATCTCCCCCACTGCCACAACATTCAAACTGATATAATTTTTGCAAAGGCGGTTTCAGGGTGAGAAAAGGGAGGTAGGGAAGGGGCAGTGGACTTGGAAGGTAGACCTGGTGGTAAGTTCCTGTTAGTAAGAAAGCCCAAGTAAATTCTACTACCATGATCACTAGTACTATTGCTGTTAATACTAGCTAACCTGTGTGCAAAGCTCTCTTCCAAGAGCTCACAACAATCCTAGAGGTAGATGTTATTTTCATTTCTGGGTGGCAAGTGTTACAAGCCTTAAGCACTGGGGACTCAACTAATTTGCCTGAGGCCACACAGCTTATAAGTGGCCAACTGATTGTGAACCTGAATCATCTGATCCTAGATGCACTCTTAACCACCACGCCCCTCACACAGAGAAATGTTTCCAGAAGGTAAGGGACAGTAATTCTGAATGACTGGCAGTCCTCCAGCGTGTGCTCTTCAGCCTCCTGCCTCTGCTCATGCCATTCATTTGCTTCAGTGGCCTCTTCCAACCCCCCATTCCCTCACCTGACTGACTCCCCTCCTTCCGGGCTCATCCTGCCCAGCACACCTTTCCAGAACCCTGCTGAGGCTCTCACCTCACCAGCTTGTGGTGGGTTCCCTGTGATTCCATCTGTCGTGGCATTTACCTTAACACAGTTGCCTTTCTGCCTCATCTTAAAACCTTGGATCCTTCCATTCCTTCATCCTTCACATTCAGTCAGAGGGCACAGCTGATTTGACCTCTTCAGGATTTCTAGGTCCATCCTTCCCTCAATTAATGCTGCCACTGCCCTACTTCTCACAGTTTCACTTACAAAGCCCACCAGAGTCTTCCTTTGTCACTCCCTTTAGCCCCGTATCTTGCATCTAGAGCTGCAGCCATGCCAAGTAAATATTGTTCCAGTCTCACCCCACCCTCAACTACCTTTCCAGCAGGTGGCCTGTATATCTGTTCATGTTTTGTCCATGTGTGCCTGAAATGTCCTTTCTTTCCCACTGGTGAACTCCTGCTCAGTATTCAAGGCAGCATTGCTGTTGCTTACACTCAGAGGCCTTGGGTGGGCTCTCTCTTAGATGTGCTAGCAGTGTGCACGCATAACTCCCTATGCTGAACCCTACCGATGGGCTCACCACTATACTGCAGTCCAGTCTCCCTTTATGTTTCTGCCTCCTCCACTAGATAGAAACCTCCTGAGGTCAGGACTGGCAGAGTCCACCCACCTTCTATATTCCATGATCTGTGTGATTGCTTACTCTTTTCCTGATATTTTTTTTCCCTGTTTTTCTCCACTGGTTTCCCGGAAGCCTTCCCCGATTACAAAAGTTGAAATGAGTCATTCTTCTCTTGTGTTACCATTGAAATCTGTGGCAGTGAAATCGCCTTTCTCCCCAGAAGATGTGAGCCTCTAAAGGCAGGGATTGAGTCTTTTTGACTCTCTAGTACCTACCACAGGCCTGGCATATTGTATATGTTAAACAATTTGGGATAGCCTAAAAAGTAATGTTTCATGTTTGTGCTACGTAAGTCTGTTTGTTTAACTGCATGAGTTGAGTGAATAAGAAAAATAATGACATCTCATAGCTCTCAATGAAGCAAGAGATTTTACAAACAAAACACTAAAGACTTTGGCTATCTTTGTTAATATTAATAACAAGTGATCTTTTTAGGCCCAAACATATGTGCACAATGTTCTTATCAGTTTTGGCAAAACAGTCCTCCATTATCATCTGAGGGTAACATCTGCATATGTGGCAAGTCATTATATTGGTGAATTCTTAAAAGTAAACAGGTCCAGCTTATTATGTCTTTATTAAGCAGATTTCCACAGATTTGTGAGGTTTTTATGTAGACTCTGAGACTGTGATTCATAGTTCCCATGACAGCAAAGTGGGAATAGCTCACTAAGCCACCTCAGGCCACTAAGAGGTAATTTTTCTTGGGTTAAAATCCCATGCTTCTGACAAGTGATTTCTCAGACTAATGTTCTACATCAGAGGTGTCCAATCGTTTGGCTTCCCTGGGCCACAATGGAAGAAGAATTGTCTTGGGCTACACATAAAACACACTAACACTAACAATAGCTGATGAGCTTTAAAAAAAATCACATAATGTTTTAAGAAAGTTTACAAATTTGTGTTGGGCCGGTTTCAAAGCTGTCCTGGACTGCGTACGGGCAAGCTTGTTCTACACACTTTGGATCCTTCCTTTCCTAATGAGCCTTATAAACCTGTGATTTTATCCCAATGAAAGATGCACACCACTGAAGCCGGTGAGAGATTGCAATCCCTCGAGGGTCAAGATAACAAGGCATGTTGGAAACATTCCTGACTCCCAGTATCTTATTCTTTACAACGGATATTTCTATTATTTAGATACTCACACTGTATTGATTTTTTTAATAGTAGTTGCAAACTACTATTCAAAGCAGTAAAACAAATTCAAAGCAAATAATTCATGATTTGAGATAGCATGGACATAATTCTCACCATTGCTAGTGAATATAATTAACTTCAGTAGTAGAGACAGCTGTTCTTGTATGTTACAGTAACTTTGTTGGCAATGCATTATGCACATTGGTCTTTTCCCATTAACATGTCCACTCTACTTAATGATTTGTAATACTCCATTTGCAGGATAGACTACTAGGTAGACACCCACTCACTCTCTATTCTCTCTTACTAAAGAGACCAAAAAAAAGATGACAGCAGAACAATGCATTATAATAAAGATCTCTAGAACTCCAATGAGACAACAGGAAAGACCTGTAAATGAGGGGGGATGGTGGTCGGACATGGTGGTTCATGCGTGTAATCCCATCACTTTGGGAGGCCAAGGTGGGTGTATCACGAGGTCAAGAGATCGAGACCATCCTGGCCAACATGGTGAAACCCCATCTCTACTAAAAATACAAAAATTAGCCAGACGTGGCGGTGCATGCCTGTAGTCCCAGCTACCCAGGAGGCTGAGGCAGGAGAATTGCTTGCACCCAGGAAGTGGAGGTTGTAGTGAGCCAAGATCACGATACTCCACTCCAGTCTGGTGACAGAGCAAGACTCAGTCTCAAAAAATGGTGGTTGGCTAGGGGTTGGGGGGGGAAGGGGTGGGAATGGCTTGGGAATGGGAAAGTCAAGGAATGCTTCCCATAGAAGAAAAGTTGAGTTATGTTGAAGTTATTAGCAATGCAATAAAGAGCAAAGAGGTATGTTAGTTTCCTAGAACTGCCATAACAAAATACCACAAACTGAATGGCTTAAAAAAACAGAAATGTGTTCTGTCCTTATTCTGTAGGCTAATCATCTGAGATCAAGGTGTCAGCAGTATCAGTTCCTTCCACTGGCTCTAAGAGATAATCTGTTCCACGTCTGATACAGACTGGATCTGTGTCCCCACCTAAATCTCATATTGAAATGTAATCCCCAGGTTGGAGGTTGGGCCTGGTGGGAGGTTATTGGATTACAAGGGCAGATTTCTGATGCGTGGTTTAGTACCATCCTGTTAGTGCTGTCTTCATGATAGTGAGTGACTTCTCTGTGAGAAGTGCAATCTGACTGTTTAAAACTATGTGGCAGCTGGGCGCAGTGGCTTATGCCTGTAATACCAGCAGTTTGGGAGGCCCAGGCAGGTAGCTCACCTGAGATCAGGAGTTTAAGACCAGCCTGCGAAACATGGTGAAACTCCATCTCTACCAAAAATACAAACATTATCCAGGCAGTTGTAATCCCAGCTATTTGGGAGGCTGAGGCAGGAGAATCACTTGAACCCAGGAGGCAGAGGTTGCAGTGACCCAAGATGGTGCCATTGCACTCCTGCCTGAGCAACAAGAGTGATACTCTGTCTCAAAAAATAAAAGAACAAAAAAGAAACTATGTGGCACCTCGATCTCTGTCTTGCACCTACTCTGGCCATGTGATGTGCTTAAACCCTCTTCATCTTCCACCATGATTGTAAGTTTCCTGAGGCCTCCCAAGAAACATAGCAGATGCCAGCATCATGCTTCCCATAAAGCCTGAAGAAGTGTGAGCCAACTCAGCCTCTTTGATTTATAAATTACCCAGTCTCAGGTATGCCTTTATAGCAATGCAGGAACAGCCTAATACAATGCCCCTCCTCTAACTTCTGGTGGTTGCCAGCAATGCTTGGCATTTTTTGGTTAATAGATGCATCACTCCAATCTCTGTTTCCATTTTCATAGGGCTTTCTTCCCTTCTTGTTTGTGTATCTGTGTCTATGTCCAAATTTCCCTCTTAAAAGGACACCAGTCCTATTGGATTTAGAACCCCCCCTTACCACGTATGACTTTGTCCTAACTTAATTATATCTACAAAAACCTTATTTTCAGGCCAGGCGCGGTGGCTCACGCCTGCAATCCCAGCACTTTGGGAGGCCAAGGTGGGCAGATCATGAGGTCAAGAGATCGAGACCATCCTGGCCAACATGGTGAAACCTCGTCTCTACTAAAAATACAAAAATTAGCTGGGTGTGGTGGTGCACACCTGTAGTACCAGCTACTTAGGAGGATGAGGCAGGAGAATTGCTTGAACCCAGGAGGCGGAGTTTGCAGTGAGCCAAGATGGTGCCACTGCACTCCAGCCTGGCACCTGGTGACAGAAAGTCTGTCTCAAAAAAAAACAAAAAAGACAAAAAAACCTTATTTTCAAATAAAATCACATTCACCAGTTCTAGATGAACCTGAATAGGAGACAGTGTTCAACACAATAAAGAGCATTCATTTAACAGGAAGCAGCATGGAAGAAAGCAGAGAGACCATGACATATATGAACAACCATTTATCCTTCCTTATGGTTAAATTGAAAAGCTCTGGGGGAATCTAACAAGAGAAGTGAAGCTTAAGAGGCAGCAGAAGCCTCATCTCACTTGTATGCCAAACTCGGGAATTTGAACTTCATCTTGAAATATGTAGGTACCATAAAAGGATTTTAATTCTGGGACTAACGTGGTTATATTTACATTTTAGAAAAATGTCTCTGGCAGCAATGTGGAGTATTTAAAGAAGGTACAGATTGGAGGAAGAGAGATCACCACTTAAGAAGTCTTACTGTGGTAAGAAATGATAGAGCCCACATTATATTAGTAAGGAGACCAGGGAAGTGGTGGGTAGGTATAGGAGATATTACAAAGGAAGGATCTATAAGACTTGGTGGTTAGTTGGATCTGAGGAATGCAGAGAGAGAGAATGGCTTTGAAGTTTCTGGCTTGGATGAAAAGATGAAGATGACATTCAATGAGATAATTAAGAAGGAAGAAGATGCTTAGAGGTGAAACTGATGAGTTTGGGGCATATTTAATTTGAGATATCAGTAAGACTTCTAAATGGAGAGTTGCTATTTTGGAGATCAATACGGAGTTCTGGCTGGAGATGAATCTTGAGATTTATGAACATATAAGTAATTAGGTCCTCCAGGTTGAGTGTATGGAGTGAGAACAGAAGGTCTGGAAAATGCCAACATTTAGAAAATGAACTTAGAATAAAGAACTGAAGAATGGCAATAAGGAAGAGACTTCTGTAGAGAAAAGAGGAAAAACAAGTAAGAGCCTAGCGCAGATAAGAGCTTCCAGAGGACAGAGTGGTCAGAATGTCAAGTGCTGCAGAGAAGGCAACAAAGATAAGGAGAGAAATGTGCTCTTTTGTTTTGGCAAAGTCCAGTCATCGGTGGCTTGAGCAAGGGGAGTTTCAGTGGAATGCTGGGAATGACAAAGAAACCACCTGATAGTAGATTTGGGAGTGACCGTGCAAGAAGTGGGGAGTGGGGGGACTGTAGACTGTCTTTTTAGAAAGTTGAGTTGTGAGGAAAGCAGAGCTATATAGAAATCAGTCGCTACATGGGCTAGGAAAGAGATTTCCCTGATGATATAGGCTTGACTGTGCTGTGATCCAACTGAAGTGGGAACCCTGTGCTCTATAGAGCAGCTGCGGTAGCGGGGTGAGGGTGGCGAGGCAGGAAAAAGTTGGGACATCTCTTCCAAATAAAGGAGTCTACTGAGGACACATTTTTAAGACAGTTGAGGAATTTCTCACACAACTGCCATTGTGAGCTATTTGTTAACATGAAATAAAAATCACCTTTCCTTCATGCTCCATGTAATGGGCATTGTTTTGCTGTCCAACCTCCCAAATTCATTGTTTTCTTTTTACAATGCTCTTGTCTTCTCTAGGGGAACTGGTTCTTCCCTCTGTGCTCAGCCTTGGTGAAACTGTCCGTCAAGGTGCCCTGCCTTCTTCTTGTGAAGACCCAACTGGGCCTCTCTCCCAGGACTTTGAATCTGGAGCCTTTAAATGGAATCAAGGGTTTGGGAGAGGAGGGTGATTAGAGTTTCTTCCAGTGACAGTCCTCTACCATGACCTGATTTCTACCCTCTTTGAATCTTCTTCCATAGGTTTCCCCCTAATTCTGTCACTACCCCAGATCCTTGGATAGGCTGTAGTGCCTAAGACTCTGGAGCTACACAGCTTGGGTTCAAATCCCGATTTAGTTATACTCTAACTGCACAACCTGGAGCAAGTTACTCCTCTGTGCCTTGAAACCAAGTAACTCATCTGTAAAGTGGGGCTAATAGCAGTGCCTATTATGTAGGCATTAATCTAGAAATTAATAACTACAGTGCTTAGAATGCTGCCTAATCCAAGTAGGTGCTGCAGGTGCTGGTTATTATCATCCTAATAAATTCCTCGTCTGTATGCTAGCCAGGATTATTTGCTTCTGTGTGCCTCCAAAGAACCCTAATGGATACCTCCTTTATTCTGGATTAGTAACATTTTATTGTACTGCACTTGAAAATGTAGACATAATTAATAATTTTGTAGAAACTGATTATTTTTGACAATTCAGAAAAAGGAGAATTTAAATATGCCATCATATCTGTGGCAAATGAACGAAAGCTCTCATTTAAGAATCAGATAAAGGAAGTTAACGAGAGACATTAATGGCATGTTTTTACAGAATTTTAGAGAATAAAAATAAGGGAGAGATTTTTGAAACATTTTTGAAATATGGTAGCTCATTAGCTATTCATAGAAATGAGACAGATAATGATCAGTCCTTTCTTTAAGTTCAGAACACAGTAGAAAATACAGTGAACTGGAAATCTGATTTGGAACTCATGTCACTTACGTCTTCAAGAAGTTAATTGTTCTCACTGAGTTTCACTTTCCTCACTCAGAAAAATGCCTACTTCTGACACTGCATTTCAGGTCAGTCTGTTACACAGCAATATTGCAGCAATATACTAACTGATACATGGGATTATAAAACTGTGGGATTAGGAGAGATCACCCAGGGAAAAAAGGGCGTAGTGAAAAACACCAAGAAATAGATCTGAGCTGAGGAGCAAGAACTACCCAAGATGAACCAGGCAGAAAGACGTAAGAAAACAAACAGGCTGTGGGTCATGGAGGCCAAGAGAAGCGCATATTTCAAGGAAGAAACATGCACATTTTGCTAAGAGGTCAACTAAGATGAGGGCAGAAAGTCGTTTGGTTCCCTCCACATCAAGGTCACCACTACCCATAGCATGGACTAGATGGACTCTAGTAACCAAGATTGGGCTTTCTGAGTCAAACAACGGGCAACTGGAGACAAGACAATGGGCCAAGAAGGTTCAGACACACAAAGGCAGAGGATGAAAAAGGAGTTTGGAATTAGTAAGATATCCACATCAGGTGACTCAGAAGTCGATGGACAGGGCATACATGGCAATCTCCTTGTTGCAGACAAGTAGCCTGAAGGTCAGCAGTGTCCACTGACAATATAAGGTCCTGTGACAAAAGGGACAAAGCCAAGCTGTAGACCTGATGGGTGGAATGAGGGCCAGCAGCCAGGGATAGTGAACAGGAAACATCAGTCCTGCTTTCCCTGGAGGTCCTGGTCCCTCCCCTGGCAT